ATCACCAGGCCTACAGGGTTGCCATAACTTGGCCATATATCTCAAACCCACTGGTAGCCAGTTTGTTTGGAATGCCTAAATGTAATTTATTATTGACCGACCTCTCTTTAAAAACCAGCCTATTTACCTAATACGCTAGAATTAATTTATGCTCGGCAACTATGTACCTGTCTCAACGCACCGAGAGTTTTGCTGTAACCTTATTAGCTGATGATTAATTTATATTGGTTGTTTACTGGAACTTTTCGATCCTTATATGGTATGAGTATTCGATTTTACGCAAGGTTTCGTTTATTATATTGGTGTTAATTTAATTATTTTATTTTTATATTTATAATGATGGAATGGAGATTCTATTGTCCCAGAAGGTAGGTATATTTACTACTCTCATTTATTAGAGATTTGTATTTGGCGAGAATTGGGTAACACGTTGTCAACTACATTAAATCTGTAAGCTGGCTCATGAGCTAGGAGGTGCCTATCTACTTAAAGGGCTGCAAAATCGATCTAGTGAGGCCTAAGTGTTAAGGGTTTACCCACCCTTTACACGTTACAAATACAGATAATAGGTATATCACAAAGTAACGCAATTATACATGTGCGATACTATAAGCTACCTATAAAACACTGAACGATTAGACAAAAGTAGGTATGAAAGAATATCTCAAAGGTTCACCAGAATCTAAAACGCTGAAGGATTACACAAAAGTTGCTAAAGAATATAATAAAGTACCTACATCGCAAAGGTTCACTAGAAGCTAAAACGGTGAACGTTTGTTCAGAAGTAGGTAAAAAGTATATTTATATAAGGTATGTTTCAAAGGTTCCCTAGATTTTGATCTTGATGGCAGGTGTACGATGCTAAAGCCCCAAAGGGAGGGGTGCTATTACCTCTACTGTGGAACATGGTCCTCGACACCCTCATCAGCCGCCTCAATAATGACAGTCACTACACAATAGCATATGAAGATGATCTGGTCATTCTGCAAACAGGGAATTTTGAGGACATACTCTGCGAAAGAATGCAAGTAGCTCTCAAAATTATAGAACAGTCGTGTAAGGACCATTCACTGTCTATCAATCCTAAGAAGACTGAAATGGTCCTTTTCACAAGGAAAAGGATAAAAATGGAATTAAAACCTCCACAACTTCTAAACACAAAACTAAACTTTGCAAAAGAGGTGAAGTACTTATATCTCACCTTTGACAGCAAGTTAATATGGAACTCGCATTTAGAAAACAAAGTCAAAAGAGCATACATTGCCTATGAACAATGGCGCCGAATCATGGAGCGCACCTGGGGTTTCTCCCCCAGAATCGTCTCATGGACCTAAGCTAACATACGGTGCATTTGTCTGTGTACCGAAAACCCAAAAATTAACAACTATCCGTAAATTAGAACAATTTCAAAGAACAATGACACGCCTCTGCACGGTTGGAATAGAACCTTATGTAGGATCTGGTTAGGCGAGACGTGGCTTTTGGCAGGAGGCGCTCGATACGCTTCCACTGCTTTAAGCGAACTTGGACTCCATCTCACCGAGATATATCTTCCATAAGCCATATTAAGTTATAATAGAACAAATAGAAGAGCCGAAAGTGGCAGGTACGATTCATATCTACCCCGACGGTTCTATAACAAAAGAAGGCTCAGGATGTGGAGTATACTTCCGATTCTTAAACCTAAACATAAAATGGGCTGTGAGCAATAATGCCACTGTAGTTCAAACAGAGCTAACGGGAATTCCCATAGCAGCAAAAGTAATAACCATAAACAATATCACTGGAAGGAACATGCTCATCTATACAGATAGCAGACAAGCACTATTCACCCTGAACAGACCACGAATTTATTCAAGGTTGGTATTAGAATCTCACGAAGTTTTGGCCGAAGTATCTATCAATAACGTGGTCACCTTAAGATGGATCAAAGGTCACGCCACATCGAAAGGTAACCGTCTTGCTGATTCACTGGACAAGCAAGCAGCCAACCAAATACTTTTTGGATCTGGCCCTTCTATTGGCCTGACAAAATTGGTAGTGACAGACCTAATTAAAGAACATTCCCTTGAGCAATTCAAGGAAAGATGGGATGAAACAAGAAACTGCAGAGTTGCCAGGGAGCTTTTAATTTATCCTGACAACACTGCAGCAAACAAATACTTGACTATGACTAGACAGAATCTGCGCCTAGTCACAGGCATTCTGACTGGTCACTGCTAAGTACAAAAGCATCTCCATATCATGGGGCTGTCAGAATCAGCACTCTGCAGAGGGTGCGAACAAGAAGATGAGACCATCGAGAATATCCTCTACGATTGCTCGACGCTCTCAGTTATTAGAAGATTTGTGTTTGGCGAGTATCGGCTAACACCGGCCGATATGAGAGAAGCACCTCTTGGCGACGTTGTCAACTACATTAAATCTGTAGGCTAGATCACGAGCTAGGAGGTGCCTATCGTCTTAGGAGGATGCACAATGGGCCTAGTGAGGCCTAAGTGCCGTGGGGGTAACCCCACCCTCCACACGTTACAGATACAGAAGGTATGTTTCAAAGATTCCCTAGATTTTTATCATGATGGCAGGTGTACGATGCTAAAGCGGTGAATAATAATGAATCATTGAAACAACGAGTAGGTATATACTAGAGGATAGCTGAGTTCCCTGATTTCTTACCTGTAGACGCAGATCATTTAAAATGTACACAGATACAATATCTTTTTGAAATCAAGCCTTTTAACTTTTTTTGTGTAAAAACTCTTTTTTGCATAGATATGTACTTATATTTTTATTCTGCTCAAGTTTAAAGCGTTGCACTTATTTTTAAACTATTTTGACTTTATTTGTTATTTTAAATAAAACAACCAATGCTGGTGAATTGAAATTTTTTTGAATTTTTCAAATTTTATGCTTTTTTAAACACCTCTGTAGTATTTACGTTTTTTGCTTAGAATTATCATTCAGTACAAAGGAAACCTATAATATAATATTTTTAAAACGTATTTTTAGTAAAATTAAGAATATTATTACCCATAAATTAGTTTTGTAAATCTCTTTTATAAGTATTTGGTGTAAAATGTAGACAGTCATTGGGCATTGGGTCAATAGTGTCTTGTCGTTTACAACGATTTATCCGCCATTATTTTTTATTGTAGTCGAAATGATACTATCTAAATTATTTTGTATTCGGTACCTAATGAATAAAAAAATATATTAAATTTACACCAGGCGTTATTGTATAAACATAAACGAATGGCTACGTTCCAAATTCACAATGTGATGTTTACAGTACTTCTCGTGGATACTTTCTATAGCAAATTACATTATTACGTTTTGTTAACATAACAGGTAAGTTAAATAGGCAAGTAACAAATAGAAGTTTCGCGAGGTTTTGATTTCCCACAACCTCTCATGAACGTTGTGTAGTAATGTTATTACGTTCCCTTAAAACAACATCGTCGAAAGGCCTCGACAACATTATGTGCCAGCTGAGTGTATATTAATTACTCTTCTAATCACTGTCGACTTTACTTATCTAAATGTTAAATCGGAACCCCATCAAACAGTGAAACTAATTTACTATTTTTGTAATAGTAATTATTTTTGTAAACTAGTAATTCTCTTGATCATTAGAAAAGCTAAATGGTTAATATCTATATGAAATTTATTTTACCTTCACTCCGTTAATACCCATGGAAAACATTTTCCCCATGTATGCCGGTCCTGATTGAAAATGATCTCGATCTCATTGATAATGGCGTCAACGAACTCAGAATTTTCGCGAAGAGACTTGATCGTCGATGTAAATGACATTATAAATATTATAATTTCCCCAACGGGACGTTACCAACTGGAAAATTATCGTCTAAATTCGAATCGTCTTTTGTCAACAGAGTCGGTTTCAGATTTATTCCATTTTAAGAGTTTTCTTTTATAAATATATTTGAGTTTATAGTTGTTTATTAATTAAACGGCTATTATATTTAAATTGGATTAAGTGGACTATGTTTTTTATTATTAAAACATAAAACTTTTATTACACATTATTTTTATTTACAAAAGACGACACAGGAAAATACAACATGTAAAGACGCCATTTTCCTTCACATGCTTAACTCTCTTCGTCATCTTGCATAATACAAATTGCCTGCACATGTCAAGCCTGCGCATAATATCTTTTCTAAAAATAGGTGCTGCCAGTGGCGTGCTAGAATATTTAACAATAGTAAAGCTTCGGAGCTAATAGAGAGTCTTCCCCTCTTCCCAGCGCATCTACTCCCCCAAGGAAGGAAATTCCTCGTTTTTAATTGGCTTATTTAATCACCGTTGCCAAGTTTAATAACGCCTTTCTGACACTTTCTGACATGTCAAATTTTGCAGGCTTCTTTAATAAAGATTCCAAGAACTATTGAAAATTTTATTAAAACTGCCCTCTCACAAATATAATTCTCAATTAAGAGCTTTTGCTCTAACAATAAATTCTTATTCCCCAAAATGTTTTAGCTATGTAAGAGGAAAGTTTAACAAGATCTTACCAGACCCACAATATTAAAATGTCTATAGATGTCGAGAACACAGCAATTGCCTCAGGGTTGTCAGATCGGTCAGCTGAAATTCCCCAATCGAAATTTAAAAATCCCCTGAATTTCGGTCTTTTGAAAAAAAAAATCCACAAAATTTTTTTTGTCTGTTTGCTGATTTTTTCGAATAAATTAGGAATTATTTTTTTATACAAATAATTTTTACGCGTGCGCAAAACATGTAGTGCATCACAATAAAATTACATTCATGAAGTTTATTTAATGCCAAATAATTTTTACAAATTCACAAGGAATAGATAGATAGGTAATATAGCAAGAACGAAGCATAATAAGTAAAGGAGATCAATAACTTTTATTTGCTGATCTCTCATATTTTGTCTCATATATACTATATAGGTACCTACATAAAAATATAATAAGAATAAGAAGATACTTGATAAGATATAATAATACTTATGATTAATTATTAATTTCGGCAAATATATTCAATATAGCTTCATTTTCTTCTCGATTTTCCTTATTAGTATTATACATATTAGCATTAAATTTGTTTAATATATTTTCACTTAGCACAAAACTGATACAACCATTGTTCATAAGATGGAACCGCAGTCTAATTATGGAATCTGCACTACTAATTGCTAGTCGGTTTGGCAACTTCTTTTTAATAAAATTTGCAAGTGAAAATGCTCTTTCCACAGCAGCATTGGAAAATGGTAGCGAAAGAAGAGCTAGTGCTAATTTAGATATCCTTTCAAACCGATTTTCATCCAAGGCATTTTTGTTTTCGGACACTTCAACCCAAAAAGATTCAGCTATTTCTGGATGCTCCCATTCTACTCGATGAAGAGCATTCCATTCACTGACTAGCATCAACGTCCTCATTGATTAATGACTTGAATCTGGTAGCTAAAGTTGTAATATCAGGTCTTCTAACTTGGCTCGTCGCGTTTTCAGGAGTTAACAAGTTTATTTTTTCGAGAACTTCAATGTTGAACGGTAATCGAGATTGAATTTGGTAACAAAGTTCAATTAAAAAATGTCTACACCTTTCTTGGACGCAGGATACATCGTTCCTCTCTATTCCCACTTGTGCTTTATGAAATGAGTAACCAAAATTGATAATGGTTGCGCTCATGACGTAGTCCTTGAAATTGAAAGAAAATATATCTTTATCAAGAACTTTTTAAGACGCATTGGAGGTATAAGAATACTTAAGTAATTCCTGAGCAAGTGCAAGAGGTCTTCCATTAATTTAAGAGAATTAGCTTGGTCACATTGGAAAGCTGTATTAAGGGCAGTTAGTTCTCTCAAAGTTTTCTTCAGAAAAACCATGTACAGGTAATTTTTGTTGTGATGTATAGCATCTTTCTCTATCTTTGGTTAGCTGAAAGGGCAGTTTTAGAACATCTCACTGATCCAATATTTTATTTATGGCATTAAAACGTGCCAACCATCTAGTTCCCCTTAATTTATTAATTTTTGTTGGCGCTGCTTCATTCATTACTTCATACAATTTTTTATATTTAATCTGACGCTTAGAACTGCAACGAAACCAATTGTGAGATTCTTTTATTAAAAAATCTAAATGTTTGGGAAGTGATTGAAAAGAATGCTCAGCAGCCAAGTGGAGAGAGTGGAAAACACACTTAATTACCACTAAATCTCGATTTGTCATAGATTTTACATGAGTCGAAAAAGAATTGTGTTTTCCAACCATGACATTAGCACCGTCTACGCCAATCCCAATTAAGTTTTCCATTGGGAGACTGTCTTTAAGAAGTTGACTCCTCATTGTTTCAGCTAATGTCAAAGCATCTCCTGCGGTAATTTCCATTAATCTGTAAAAGGTCGTAATTATTTTTCTTTTGAGTTTGTTATAATATTTAATCATAAGACACATAATTTTGGTACAGTCGATGGCCGTGCTTTCATCAATTATCAGAGAAAAACTCAGTAATTTTTTTGCTGGGACCAGCGTTATACTTTTTCTCAGACTCAAGATGTTTTCTTGATTTTCTGTGCAACAAAAGATCTTTCTTATGTGCAATTAATGAACACTTGCAAACTTTACAAAAACCCCTTTTATCGTCTTCAGGGTCCGGCATAAGCCATCCTATTAAAAATATACTATAATTGGTATACGAATATTAAACCGAAGATAAAACTTACCCCTTAATTCACTATTTTGTTCCCAAACACTTCTGTACTTATTCGCCATTATTTTTATTATATTCGCTGTGTGCATTTGGCTTGGAGGGGATAGATTGAGCTATCGCAGCGCCTATGGTGGCAGGAGTCGGCGATTGTCCACATCATCGTAGTAGCGCGGCAGCGTGTTGTGGGTCTCGTGTTGGGTATTAAAATGAGTCGTCGTTATTGTAGTGTTGTCGAGTGTAAAAACACTAGCAAAAATAGTGCGTGTAAGTTTTATACGTTTCCAACCGCATCACATAAATTGGAGCAAAGAAAGAAATGGATAGCAGCTGTGAAAAGAAAAAAGTGAGTAACATAACCTCTGTCGTATATATATACATCATAAACATCGAAAGTAGGAGCGGTATTTGAATGCTCAAGTAATAGTGATAAATAAATTATTTATAACGTAATAGATTTAATGGTTTTTCCACAGCGCTGATGGTTCACCTTGGGTGCCAAAACGGAATGATTATATATGCAGTGGTCATTTTATTGAAAATAAAAAACGAGAAGAAGAAAGTAGCCCAAGTTAAGTACCGACAATATTTCCTTGGTCAGATCCGAAAAAAAGCGCAAATCAAATCGCAGCCGTGAATAGGTATACTTCAATTAAAATGTTAACTCATTAAATTCATAGAGGTTTCTATAAAACACAGGATAATATGTTTTTATTGCAGACATGCTCGTTTTATAAAGCGGAAAATAGACGAGATAAACTGTACAATTGTTTCACAAGATATTCTTTTTTCGTGACAGACGTTTGTCTAATGACACCAGCTCGGATAAAAAGGCCAACACCTGACTCTCTGTGCTCTTCGACATTTATGACATGCCCAGCTTCTACCAAATCTTTACCTTTTCTTGGCGTTTCAGGCTGAAAGTTTATGTCATGAGATATTTTGTCAAATCCAGTGTACAAGATGACACTCATGACAAAAATGTAGCATCTAAAAATACAGACAAATTACATTGATTTATGACATTCAAAACGCAGATACTTCGTATGCATAACCTCCAAATATTTTTATGTCATTTACTTACTTTTTGTGCGACAGAAACAATTTTTGTTAGTCTATCAACTTACAGCGAACACAAAACTTGTTGCAACACTTAATTGTTGAAACAGAATTTTCAAGTTCAACTGTTGAGTGTGAGGTGTATAGCAAGTATGCGGGAATGAATGAGGAGAACTGTCGCTATCTCGTCACCAGAGAGCGCTACCAGTCTTGCACACAGCGAATACAACTCAACTCAACTCGTCGACAAACGCTAAATGTGAATCGGGGAATCCCGGTCCCGAGAGAGGGTTCCCATATCAACGTCTTTCAAGACAAATTATGCGGTCGGTAGGGTCGCTAGTGTATTAAATTATTTTAACTCGGCAAAAATAGATAGCTCTGCTGGTACAATGCATTAATAAATAAGCCATATATTTTTTGTTATTTATAATATCATAACATTATTTTAAAAAACCCCTGTTATCCCCAACGCAATAGTTTTTCCCCAGAAGAATCTCCTAGAAAACAAAAACCCCAAAAAATCCCCAAGAAGATGAAAAATCCCCTAATTTTTGGGGAAAATCCCCTAACCTGGCAACCCTGAATTGCCTTCAAACTCGCTTCATGCCCCCTCTAGTGGCAATTACTCGAAGACTAAAGCAATGACCTAACCAATTCTCCAATGCAGAGTTTATATTCTTCAAAAATATGCTCTTTTAAATCAACCCAATTATGAATATATTCAAATAGGTACAAACCCCAACGTGGCTAAAATACATTAGAAGCAAAGGAGCGTGATATAATCTGCTTATTTGAAGGACAACAACACTATATAAAAATCGTGAGTTATCTGTATCTATTCCCGCATTTGGGGTTAGGGTATAACAAAATAGTAACAGAATACCTTCCACATTAAAGCGACCATGGTAGCGTAGAGATCAACGATATGATTGTCCATGTTGTCATGCCTGTCTTCCTTATCATTACAGGGTGTTATTTCGACAGCTATTGTCACTTGGGCGCGTTCTAATTGATGTTTCTTTAAATTGAATGGCTCGGCTCTATCTTAGTTTTATGATCTCGGAGCGTATATTCTTCGTCAGGCATTATTACATTTAACCATGTGAATAAAATTATCGATTTTGTACACCCTTAGTGAGAAAAAAGTTATAAATTATGCTATACCAGTAAAAAAGCTGTTCGTGACGACACTGAATTTAGTTAAAATATTTGTCACTAAATTTTTCTGTCTACAACGATACTTATTTTCAGTATTCGTGAAATTAAACAAAATATGGTGTCAGGGCCGGTTCAAGGCGCGAGGTGGGCCGCTGTCCTGAGCGGCACCCTTAGAAGGCGGCAAATGGGCTGTAAAATTAACTAGTTTATGAAGATAATGATTAACCCAAGATTCATTTGAAATTTTAATAAAATTTGCTTTTAATATGTTTAACAAACTTTTAAGTATAGGTATTTACCCATTTCAAAAATCTTCAAGTATGAGAACGAGATAAGAAGGTTGATGTATGTAGTTTTTAAATAAAAACACGTTTTGAAAGACTATTAGATTTTTCGTGAATTAAAGACCAAATCCAGAATCGAACCAAAAATTATAGATAAAATATCAAAATATTTCAAAAACAAAATAATGTAATGTGAGCCATTTCACTAATTAGTCATGCTCTAATCCTCCAAGTTCTCTGTCTTATTTGGCCTTCGAGGCTCAACTTGTCCGATTATCATACATAATTAAACCCCTTAAGACCAAACATATGTGACGACTATGGCGAAGGCGCTTTCGACTATTTTCCAGAACGAACGTGATAATGTTTCTAGTTTTGGCGAGAACATTCTAGATCTTCACCAGAATTTTCAATGTGTATATAAATATTGGTGGAGGAACACGGAGCAGTCAGTCGTATATAAATAGTTGTGAAGATAAATAGTGAACAATTTAAAGACATTCGAAATATATATAAATTAGAATAATATTGTTTTAAAATAAATAAGTGTTCAAATAAATTATTAACATTAAAATAAACAAACGCTACATTGGTGTCGAGAAGTAAAATAGTGTAAATTAATAGTGATTAAAACGGCTAAAAGACTGTGTGATTTAAAAGTAACCGACCTATGTCGAGAGTTCGAAGATCGTAAGTAGGATACGACAGGGAAGAAAGCAGAACTGGTAGAACGACTTAAAGAAGCAATATAAAATGAAGGTTTGGATCCCGAAACGTATCTATTATCGGATGACGCTTCTTCTATAATTTCTTCAATTTATTCCGATATGAATACCGAAATATCATCTTTGAAAAACGAAATTTTCTCTTTAGAAACCAAATTTTCGTCTGTCTGATATGTCTTCTATGAAAACTGAAATTACCGCTGATGTTTCTTCTATAAAAAATGATATTACTTCCTTAGAAAGCAAAGTTTCTTCAGACATTTCTTCCTTAGATAGTAAAGTTTCTTCCTTAGAAGAAGAGGTGTCTTCTGACATATCTTCTTTAAAAACCGAAATTTCGTCCGACTTGGAATACAAAATTTCTTCTCTAAAAAATGAAATCTCTGTTGATGTGGAAAACAAGATGTCTTCTGTAGAGGAGAAAATAAAACAGATGGAAAAGAAGATGGAAGAACTGGAACATACAGAATAGACCAGGCCCGACAAGAGGGGGGTAGCCGGGACTAATTCCCAGGGCTCGGGCTCAAGTGGGGGCCCGGCAACTTTGGCGAGGACATTCTTTACGCCTTCAGAAGTTCGGCACAAGAGGGAAGAAGTTTTTGCTTGGATAACTTTTTTTTTAAAGATATACAGGAAAGAGGAGGAGAAGTTTTTGTAGACTTTTTTTTAGACAAATTGAAGTAAAGAGGAGAAGTTTTTGCTTGAAGACCTTTTTGTTCTATAGAAATTTTTTATCATATTGTCGCAGGGCCCGACTTTGGAGAATTGTCCCGGGGCCCGACCTGGCTTTCGGCGGCCCTAGAACAGACCAAGGACGTTGAAATAAAGTGTCATGAGGTGGAGTCAAAGTTGAAATTGGAAGGCGCTGTAAATTTTCGACGGAAAGATGTCATGGACAAACTACCTTAAATAGTTCGAGACAGCTGCGAGAGCAAATGAATGGTCTGAGAGAGAAAATGCAGTGAATCTGACAATCGTCCTTCGAGGAGACGATTTGGATATCCTTCAAACTATACCTATGGAATAAACCGAGGACTTTGAATAACTGAAAAAGAGACTCAACATGCGATATGGCCACGAACATTTGGAACATCTATACCAATCACAGTTAAAGATTTGCAAACAGAAACGAGACGAGACCCTTCAAGAATATGAAGTAGATATTGTCAGGTTGGTGCGATTTGCATACCCATCAGCTGCGGAAAACATGATATAATGTTTGGCGGTCCAAACATTTGTTGATGAACTCCGTGACCACGAGATGCAGAAAACACTTCGTCTAGTAGTCCGTCACAAAACATTGGTCCATGTATTGTCCACTGCCCTTGAATATGAGGTAGCTACGCAGGCTTTTGGTCGATACAGTGAAGTAAGGACTGTAAAAAAATAAGAACAGAAAATAAATTGGACCAATTGTTTCACATGATAAAAAGCCTTATTGAGAAGCAACCGAAGACTATTAGGTGCTGGAATTGCGGTGAAATGGGAAATTTAAGCAGTTCGCGCAACGCCCAAAGAACACTACGACAAAAAACCGTGCCGGTGGCTGTACAGGAAGGCTGAAAGAAGTGAAACCACAAGAGTAACGCAGTTGCAAGGAACTGTAGAGAAAGCAACGCCTGTCATGGCGGAACCTTCGTAGCGCAATGAAGGTGTTGGTAAAAGAACTCTGATTGGAAAAGGGTTGGCCACATCTGCTAAAGAAGTTACAGTACGAAGAACGTCCGTTGTCAGCGATGAGTGGGCCCCTGTCAAACTTAGAGAAGAACAAGGGAACGATCCCGTTTTAAAGAAGATGCGACAATGAAAAGAGGAAAATCGTCGACCTACTTGGCAAGAAGTATCTAATCACTTTTCAGTACTCAAGTCATACTTGGCTCAGTGGGACTCTTTTATTCTGGAAGATGGCTTATTAAAGCGAGTACTTGAAAATGATGATGGTTCCGAAAACAGAAGACAGTTGGTCCAAGCTTCAAAGGTTTTGGGAAGGTCCATCAAGAGAAAAATCAATGATGTCATCTACCGTATAAGTAAGATTTCGAACGGTAAACCGAAAGTAGTGCACCAAAACCGGCTGGCGCCATTTGAGAGTGACCATGACGAGCAAGAAGAAGTAAACCAGCTCCAAGAAACACCTAACTTTGTCTTAGAAAAATTTATGGGTGCATATGGAGGTACCGGAAAAGCAAGACATGGTGTTACAACCGAGCAACAACAAGATCTGCTCTCGCTTCAAAAGACTACTCGCTAGTCCATGTTACTTCCGCCAGCATCAATGACGCGCGAGGACTGGCGTATGTGTTCCGTTAGAAGTTTGGTCGACTGCTAGAACTTCAATGTCAGTTACCAGCCCCTGGAGAAGCCCTGAAACTTTAAGACGAATCGCGCTACCTTTTCTATCTGGTAACAAAAAAAACCTTCCTAAATCGATCCACTTATTATCATGTATGGGAAGCATTACTTAGTTTAAGTGAGCACGTTAGAAGGAAATCAGCTGGATTGGAGGATCATTAAGAACATGGTGAAAGTAATCTTTTAAGATACCGGAGTCCAAATACTGGTCTGCATCCATTCGCCCAGTGTCCAGGTTACAGCGAAAAGAGTCCCTTGTTACTTCCATGCAACTGGAAATTGTAAAAGAGGATTCAGTTGCAGATATAATCATTCCGTTTTAGTTTCGTAAGAGTTCCAGGAGGAACTATCTCTTAAGGAGGGAACAATGTAATGCGAGCTATTTCATTATTCAGTCATGCTCTAATCCTCCAAGTCCCTCTCGGTCTTATTTGGCCTTTGCGATGCTCAAGAACTCGCCGACGAAATTGACATACCGGCTAATGTTGAGCTTACCCAGCCACATTATAGAGTTCGAAGCAGGACTGTTAATTTTAACTATGAGGCACGAGATGATTCGATAGAAGATCCTACTTTGAAATATAAAGCAGAGTTTTATTTTTTCACATTAGACCAAGCTGCCAATGTGGTCCTTAAGAAAATCATCAAACTCTTCATTTTTTTATGTCTGTTCAGCAAAATTATTTACCACCTTATTCGATTTATTTGATTGGAATGAGAATACTTCAGGGGTGATCCCATATAAATCAGCAAACTCCATTTGTAATGACATCTGCACGATTTTGAAGTCGTATTTTTTTTAAATTACTTTATTACCTTGTAATTAAAAATAAATGTTTTGATTACTCTTCGAAGTTTTAAACAGTCTCTATTTTTTTTCCTAACCCGTTATACCTCGGTTTTTACAATAGCTTCTATTTTAGAGATATCCTAGACATTTCTGTATTTACGAATTCTTTTTTAAAAATAAACAAAATGTATCAGGTAAGTAGGTATCAGTTTTGTTGGGCTGGACGTTTAGTAATATATATATTTTTGGAAAATCATTTCATCGCATATTTGGATTTTATTTCAGGCTTACCACAATAGAAATATGAAACCGAAGAACTTATTATGAATCAGTGTTTGATGGCTATCGGGCTTCTAAAACCTTTCAATTCATAACTCGCATTGTTCCCTTCTTTGGATATCCCATCTGCTACTGATAAAAGGGTTCTATAGACAATAAATGTACAAAATGTTTTTGTACGAACATCTATCAAGAAGATGTTTGTCAAGAAGTCTCAACAACCCCACATTAATTTATTACTTTACATATTATATAAATCAAAAATTAATCAAAAATACAACTTTTTCTGTACTATTTCATTTTACAACGGTAACTATTGATGAAGTTAAATAATGTTTATTTAAAATAAAATCACTTTCTACTGGACCAATTTATAAATGTTAATTTTATGCTGTCCTTGAATTTTTGCACACTGAATTATTGTTTTCTAGAAATTGAGTTTTCCAAGGGTTGAAAAATTGCAAGAGTGATACAACGATCTGTTGATCTACGAGTTACTTTAAACATTTTAGATTTAAATATAACTGTAACAAAGATGGCGTCTTAAACGGAAATACTTCAATGCTTTTTAAAATATTAGTTATTAATCATATTATTGAAAATATCTCTGATTTGTTTTATATCTCAGTAATATTCTTTTCGAAAATAAAATATTACAAAAAACAAACATACAAAAAATCTACTTGAACAGATATTTTCAACAACCTAATATTTTTCACAGAAAATTATTAAATTAATTGAAGACACTTAAGAAATATTTCAAGAATCTAAAGATATTAAAACATATTGTTTCATAATAAACCGGCCATTATGGCTGTGAACTGGAGCTGTATACAGTTGACTTTTTTCGATTGCTCATACCCTCCTAAAAATGTAAAACATCAATTTGATAATGATGTAATTCTACGGGGAGTATCAGAGTCCGGGTCAATCGCTTTGAATGTAGTTGGGACAATAGCAATTACCATCCACCCTTCCTCATTGTGTTTTTCTGCACGAACGGACATCGTCTATGCAACGAAAACCTAACTGAGTGAAAAATAATCGAAAACTATTCATATTGTTTCATTTGCAATTTTATATTTCGATTCTGACAGAGGCATAATGTACATAAACTGTTCATTTGTTATTTTAAAAGTCGAGGATTTGAATGCGATTTAAATAATTTTATTATATGGATAGAAGAATATTAAGTAATGAAGATTTTTTTTGTATTATTAGAGCTACTGTAGTACAACAATTTAATTGGGAATATTTTTTTTTACAAAAATATTACTGGTTATTGTAACGTAATGTGAACTAGGCCTAACCAACGAAGTTGGTAACAATGTAAAGACTGTTAATTACATTACATAAAGAGCGCTATCTGAGGTTTTAAGGTTATGTCAAAAACGCACATTCTTAAATAAAGTTTATTTTATATATTACATGCTGGCAGTTTAAATAAGACTATGGCAGCAGCACTAATACCCCCAAAACCGTTCCAGCCAGTGAATAATCCTGCGGAAGAATGGAAAAAAATATCGCCAATTAATAGAAATTTATAGGATCGCGGCAGACCTAGAAGGAAAACCATTAAAAACCCAAAGGGTGTTGTTATTGCACACACTATGTGAAGAATGCATTAGTATATACAATACATTCGTATTTGAAGCAGCACTAGATGAACAGGGCAATCCTGGAAACAATGACAATCTCCTTACTATAATTTTAGACACTTTTTCAAGCCATTAATTATTAAAATGAAACCAAGCCAAGCCAACCTCTATTAGGCTTAGAAGGAATTATAAAATTAGAAATCCTTAAGAAATTAGCAAATATCACAATGGAAGAAAAAGAAGAAAGCCTTACCTGTTCAAAAATTATTGACCCTTATGTATTCGAAGGTCTTGGCTGTACTAATTTTAAATACAGTATCAAATTAGAAGAAAATGCAGAACTTTCAATTGCCAGGTGTAGAAGAGTATCCCAAGCTCTATTATCCAAAGTTAAATGTGAATTGGAAAAAAATGGAGGAAGAAAAAATAATAGCAAAAACATAAGAACCTACAGACTGGGTACATCTTATAGTGACTATTGTTACGATAGTTTTTGGTATCACAATTTATTTAAATTCAACATTAACAATAACGATACAACTGATAACATTAACATGTAACGCCTATCATAAATCTGACCCTCTGACGTCAGGTCGTCGACTTATATAGCTTTCTTCGACCTTCTAGAACCTCCTCGAACAATCTGGACTTTTCTTTGACAAGGAATGACATTTCGAAACATATCGGAAATATTCTATCTTCTTCATTTACTCGTACCTTTACTTATGACGACCGCAGCACGCTACAGAGTGCTGCGTAACACTATCATGAAACCAGGAGGTGACATAAGACTATGTATGGATCTCCGTCCATTAAATAAATTTATTAAACGAGATGATCTATCCCCCCGACTCCAGAGTCTAGTACTTCGACTTCTAAAGTACGATATCATATTAGAGTACCAACCTGGGAGAACTATGCATATACCAGATGCACTATCACGGTTGGCAAGGAAGAACAGAAACTTAATGCCGATTGAAGTAGATGAACTCAAAGTACAATCTATTGTTGTTGCAAGCAAACAAAGAGTAGAATCACTCAAACATGAAAACTTAAATGAAACAAGTAATACATTACATTAGAAACCGATGGCCTAGGAAGATAGAAAATGTACCTCAAGAAGCAAAACCTTTCTTTAAACATAGATGGATTTGTATTTTTAAATAAACGTGTAGTCATACCAAAAGTGATGAGAAACATTATGTTAGAAAAATTCATGTGGCCCATCAAGGCATCAACTCGAGTGTCAAAAGAGCACAGAAAGCTATATATTGGCCCAACATGGCTGAGGATATACAAAAGTATATATCATCATGCTCAGTGTATCAAAAATAGTCTAAAAGTAACAGTATAGAGCCCCTAACACCACTCCCAGTTACAAAATACCCATGGAAACGTGTGGGAATGGACTTAATAGAAATCAAAAATCAAAAGTATTTAATTATAACCGACAGTATATCCCTAAGGTAACGTTAGCGGATGGTTAGCGGATGTTTGCTAAAACTCCTTAATATCTAACAAACTTGTTTGGTTTAGTTGGAAAACACACTCAAATATTATCAGATAATGGACCACCATTTAGTTCAAGAGAGTTCATGGAATACTTGAAAAGTGAAGAAATATACCACAAAACTAGCAGTCCATATAATCCACAAACTAACGGACAAGTGGAGCGACAAGTACAAACCATCAAAAATTTAATACTGAAGTCTTCAAATGAAGATCCTCAAAAACTAATCATGGTATACTCCAAAAGCTAACACAGATTCACCTGCGGAATTATTTCTAGGAGGACCAATAAGAACAGATTTACCAATGACAGAAAATAAGCTAACACAAAATATTAATCCACATACAATTGATAACTTGAAATACAATGAACAGAGGCAAGAACAATATTTCAATCGACATGCAAAAAACCGACCATAATTAAAGAAAAAATTATTAATAAAAAAGACAAAAGGAATTGGATACCAGCAACAGTAATAAAAGAAGACGAAAATCCAAATTCATACTGGATTAGAACCCAGGATGGAGCGACCTATAGAAGAAATAAAATTCACCTAAAGAACTACAACGAAAGAGCAGCAGAGAAAGGGACAAACGAGGCAATAGAAAATCCAGAATCAAAGGCATATTCAGAAAACACGACACTACATGATTCAGACAGTCATTCAGAACAACAAAGCGAAGGAAATGAAACCACTGAACAATGCAGAAGAAGTGAACGAGTTAGAAGAAATCCAGCCAAGTTACAAGAATAGATATGGGGCCGAAAACCATCACCCATAAGGAAGGGCATGTAACGTAATGTGAACTAGGCCCAACCATCGAGGTTGGCAACAATGTAAAGACAGTCAATTACAGTACATAAAGAGCGCTATCTGAGGTTTTAAGGTTACGTCAAAAACTCACATTCTAAAAAGTTTATTTTACATACGAGTATTACAGTAATATTTAATAAAATAAAAAAATATGATGTTGATGACATTGTTAAGATAATTCACTGAAATAAAAAACCACTGTAACAAAGACATTAAAAAAAGAGTAAATGAACAAAAGGAATTATCCGTCTCTTGTGAATGTATTCATATTGTTTAATTAAGGGTCTATTTATACTCCCTTATTATTAGTATTTGCATTAGTATTATGATTAAGCATTAAGTTGAACCTTCACAATGTAATGGGGACATTTATACTCGATTTATGATTAGTATTAGCATTAATATTTATGCTTAATAATTGACAGATTCAACTTTTAAATTAAATATTAAATTTCTTCTTTTCTATAAAATGAATCAATGGCCTATTTGGCCTTTGTTTTTAATAGACAACGGATAAGGATAATTGACAATACACATATGATTATGTTGTTTATATGTTTGTTCCAACAAGCTCGAAAACAATAATATTTCGGTACAAATCATGCTATGTATACAATTTTTGTGTATCAGCAGTGTTTACCGATTATAAAGTTGACAAAATGACATGTCACCACGAGGAAGCAAAGGCCTCTTTTCTGTCTGATTTGTATCAAATTTCTGCTTCTTTTTATTTGTTATAAATTTGAGACTTAAATCCGTTAAAATGTCCTTAATTAAACCTATTTTTGAATAATAATATTTTTAAATAAAACTAACTAGTAAAAATATTAATAGAAACACATTTAAAACTCAAATATCTTAAAAGAACACAACCGGCTTCTTACACATTTCTTCAGTAACCATATATTTTGTTGACTGCAGAATTATATCTTATTAGGTATTAGGTTTAAAAAAGAATTACTAATACTAATTATAAAACGAGTATAAATACCTTTTTTGAATGATTTATCAAATTTAATGCTTAATCATAATACTAATACAAATACTAATACTAAGGGAGTATAAATAGACCCTAAGACGTTATTCTTAGTATTACAGAAATATTTCTCAATATTTTTCTGGTTAAGAATTTATTAAATTGGGATTTTTTACCAAGACCTCTTATAGACAATTCCAAATCAATTCTTATAGTTCGTTTGAGTGAAAGGGGTATAGATTGAAAGCTCTATAAAAAATCAATATCCCGTAAATTACATAAACCGCGTATACACATGAACTTTTGATGTTCAAGATAGCAAATAATCGCCCTATACAAACTTAATATCCCGCCAGGCAGACAGGAACAGATACAGGACAATAAAGCAATAAACGAAGCGTAGGAGTAGATCGAGTTGGCTTGGCCCCCGGCGATTATATCGGCTGTCAAGTGTTGACAGTTGAGGCGCGGCTGGAGTTCAGGATTAGAGGATATAAGAGGGCTAGCAGGGGTCGAGTTTCATACATAGACACATATGTGCCTAATAGCTGCGATTTCAAGCTTTTATTAGTTGTTTACAGTTTTAAAACGTAATATACATAATTTGCTGGTTCGTTTTAGTTGCAGTTTAAATTTAGTCATCGCAAATATATAATTTTGGTTGCCGATGAGTACAGTTGTGTTAAATAACCGAGCTCCGAAGAAGGCCAAGTTCAAGTTAAGTGTATCGCGAATTACGACAAACAATAAAAACAATGATTGTTTGAATAGCTTAATGTTAAAAGGAACTAAGTCACATTTTTACGTTTTTGACTTTAAAACAGGAAACGAAACTTTGAAGATATTCCTTTCGTTTGATGTAAGAAGGAACCGTCTAACTATATTGCTTGTGTACTATTTTAGCGGTAGTTATTGTTCGAGGTACCTTCCTCAACAAACGAAAGGAATATCTTCAAAGTTTAGTTTTATGTTTTAAAGTCAAAAACGTAAAAATGAGACTGAGTTCCTTTTAACAATAAACGATTCGTTTATAGTTTTGTAATTTGTAAAAATTTTTAGTTTTAAATCAGGTGACACAATTAAATAATACCTCAGGAAAGATGATAAATCAGGCCATTGCGGTGTTCAATACACCAACTGGACATTGTATGGGTGGTATGGTGTGCTTGTAGATTGATAAAAAATTAGAATAAGATGAATTTGAAATAACTCTCTTCTCATGAAAGTTTACGGAAACCGGCAACATCGCTTTCATACTATTGCGATGGTGGCGCTAACTAATAGTATGCCAAATAATAATTCCACAAATAAATTGAAAATTTTGTACAGACGTTAAGAGGGAACTAGCTTTATGTCTTGCATCAATGTGAAAGGAATTATGTTCAGCTACTTCTAGAAGACTTTCTCAAACCTTAATTAAATAAAGTTTAAGGGGCTTTATTGCATCAATTCTGCTGGACCATCTTGTCTTACTTAGAGGCTTTAAACTTAACCCGGGAACATTTTTTTCTCATAACATCCCACCTTTTTGTGGATGACGAAAAAAATTATATAACTCTTGCACAAGATTAAAAAAGTTTATTGTAGTATCTAACACCTTAGAAGCGCATTTACTGTTCAGTTCAAAGTATGAGCCACACAAGGTACAAAAAGGACTCTCGGATTCGCAAGAATGCGTTTTTGAAGCCCAACATGCTTTCCCTTTATGTTTGCCCCATTATCATAACCTTGTCCCCTAATATTTTTTATATCTAAATTAATTTTTTTTTAAATTTCTGTCACAAATGTGTATATGTATATCCCTTTCCCTGTAGAGTCCAGTATTCGATTAAACGCAATAAAACTTTCCTTAACTTCAACCTTTTTTGAAGTGGTGTTAGGGACAACATACCTCAGAACAAAACTTGCTCAGTATGACTAGTGTCTGGTGTACAATCTAATATTATTGAAAAATATTTTGAACTGCCAACCATTTCTAAAATATTATTTCTTACTTTAGACGACAATAATTTAATTATTGCATTCTGTATTTGCACGCCTAAATAATGTTCGAAAAGTAATTTAGAAGAATCTTGAAATGCCAAGCATTGTGTAGATAAATACTTAAAAATCACAATAATTCTTTCCAACGTCGCCCCAATATTTTTTTTTCCGTTTCTAAAATCCGCAGGTGATGAGCATTAACAGTCGTAGATGTCTCCAACATTTTTTTAAAATTTACCCAAGTATTTATATAACTGTTGTGTAAAATTGACGTTTCGTGTCTCTTCATTAGCAAAGACAAATGTTGCCAATCATATACTCCATTTGTTAGGAGTTTTACAAAACAACTTACAACAAAAACAAAATACAGAATCTTTAGAAATAGAGTAAATAAACCAAGTCCTTTTCTCCATTTGCTAGACTTCTTACAAAGTATTTGCACGAAAACTTTGTCTTATCTTTATTACTAGGAAACCTGAAACTGACGTCTATCAAGGGCGGACCACGTTTAACCAATTTTCATTGGTAATTCTTTCGGGCCACAAACCGGGGTCGGACGGAATTATATCATCACTAGCCTCATTAAAGCCTTCATCGAAAGTGTCACTTGTAGCAGGTATTTCGGTAGCTGACATTACCAAACTTCTTACACACGCTGAAGTACCTGAAATGAATTGTTCAAGTGCTGTAGACGAGGATGGTGTCATCGCTTCATCGGTCTCTGCATCAGTAGAAGCTGTTTTGCTGCTACAACCGCTGCCACTTGTTGCAGGACTTGATGTTACCGTGGTCGCCTCTGTTGAAATTTCAGATGGTCTACTCACGGTTACTGATATTACGGATTTAGAATCTTGAGATTCGGTCGCATCGATAGTCTCTGTGGAATCTTGATTGTTTTGCAAGAAGTGCTTTAAAGATCCAGCCATTTTTTCCCTTTCTTGTAGTCCGAGTTTCTTTTGATCGCGAAACTTCGCACCTGAAGGTCTCTTTCTTTTATCCTGAAAAAACAAATAAATAATTAGTACTCATGGGAATTAGGTATTAACTTCTAAAGTAAGCACAATAATAAGCACCAAGTTTGCATATTTGAGTAAAAAGTAATTTGTTCGAGCCCTTTCAGCTTAAACCCTTTCAAAAGTAAAGGCAGAAAAAATATTAAACTAATTTGATCTTATAACTCTTAAAAAACCCTACAAAATGGTTTTTTAAAAAGATCGAGAGCATAAAAACTAAGCGAGTTATGAATAAAAAACCAATTACTTTTTTAAACTCGTACAAGACATATCAATTAATAAAAAGATATTTGGGTAACAAAAATTAATTATAACCAGTATCCTATAAAGGATTAACGTTGATAGTCTAAAGTAGGGAATACTTACCATTTTATAAAAAATCAAACCGTTGAACTTGCAGTCAGCAGGTATTCAGCACTTAATTTTTTAGAAACAAAAGTAGTAAACAAAATATTATACAACACAGCACTTGAAAAAATAAAAATAACTTTAAATGTAAAAATTAATAGGATTACTTGTTTTTATGCACTTGTTGCACGGTCCAGTGAACTAACCGGTTTAAAAACGCCTCTGGCGATAGATCGCTTTTATAGCGTTCCAGGCATTATTCATGTCTGAACAGGAAAAATCAAGAAACTACCGCCTGACATGTTCGCGCAACATAGGAATCGGCAGTAACTGGATAGTGTGTGTATTTATACTTAATCCTATTTAATTTATCAACTTTTATTTTAAAATTAATTTTTGTTTTTTGTTTTTTTTTGCTAATTTTTTGCAATTTTTTTTTGACCCTGGGTTTTGGCGCTCCTAACGGATGGCGCCCGTGTGCATTGCACACTTTGCATATATGGTAGCGGGGGCCCTGGATAAGTGCAATCAATTATGGTCACGAACTATTTTTTTGTATAACTTTTTATTTTCCAAATATATATTAGAAATTATATAGGATGGGGACTTTAACTGGCGCA